ATGGACATACTCAAGTACTACACATACCTTAAAATATACTTAACTAAAATACAGTACTTATTTTTGTGTTATCTACAGGCCTGCACCTCTCAATGGCAGTAACGTTTGAGGCTTTCATCAATGTCAGCATCGCAGCAGAAGGAGACCAAACACAAACACATTCACCTCAGGCAGGGACTCCCCACTCAGCTATCACCGCCACGACCAGTGACCCTCAACAAGCTCCTCTAAGTCTCTGGAGCTGCCCCCTTCTGCAGCTCTGTCACTCTTTCCTGCAGCCAGCATGAGTAGGTAAGTCTGTTTCTCTCTAATAGTCTCACTCAGCCTCTCACCCTGCTAATAAGAATCAATATCAGCTCTCTTAAAAGTCATCAAGCACAGAGGTAAAAAGCCTCAAGAGCATGAAATTGCAGACGGGAGAGGGTGTACTTACGAGAGTAGGCTGTGATATAGGCCTAAAATTGGTCCATTGAAGACGTACAGTAGAGAGAGAGAGCGAGAGAGAAAAGAGGAAGAACAGAAGCAGAGGACAACATACGAAATGGAGAAAGAGAAGAGGTCAGTGAGGGACAGAATTTTATGCCTCTGGGATGTAATTCTTGGTTTTGTTTTGTTTTTTCGTCTTATGGACTCCAGCATCAAACAGCGCAGCTACGGAAAGCTTATCATGTCGTCGGCTTATCTCCCATTTTCACCTCCCCAAAGGAATAAACACACAGACGACTACAAGATGGGGAATGTACAACAACAAAGAGTCGACTCTTCAGGTTCAATGGCCACTAGTGCACTCTCTCTGTTTTCATTACCACATACTGTCCTAGAAGCCTGGTAAACCCGCTGATGAAGCTATGGATTATCCTGCATCGGATGTGAGGTGGCGTCTGAGGCATGAAGGACACCGGTCATGTCAGCCAAGGCAAAGACATATTACAACGGAGAGCAGACCTCAAGGACTCAAGTAGATTAAAACTGATTGAAATCCCATTTGTGGCGTTTGGGGTCTTTTATGTCAGCTTTACTCTCTCAAACTCTTGCTATGTCCCCAAAGTGAGCAGAGCCTGAGTCTGAATAAACAAATAAGATTGCATTTGTGGAGACAAGCTTCTCAGATTTACATGGCAATAATATCAAGCTGTGGGATTTTGTAATATGAACAGCAATAAAGGTGGGTGCGCGCGGATGTGTGTCTGTTTTTTGATAGGACGCAATGTGACATTATGGGAGGAAATGGTAAATTAGAATCTGGTGTAGAAAAATATGCACACACAGACGTGCCTCTGTGTACATGCATGTTCGGAGTGTGAAAAAATTATCGCACAGTGGTGTCGTGGTGTCTTGGTAGATAGATACAATAAATCTTTATCTGCAGAGTGAGATGTTAAATGTATTTAGTTTAAAATCTACACTATTGTAACTATAAAGTAGGAGAAAATGGAAATACTAAAGTACAAGAACCTTAAAATTGTACTTACAGTCAGTACAATACTTGAGTAAATGTTAATTTGAGTTATATAAGATTATATTTGTAGTGTGTGTGTGTGTGTGTGTGTGTGTGTGTGTGCACGATTAACTAGCTACAACTATTTTACCTATCAGCCATTTCATGCTTGCTGGTTAGGGACCAGCAGCAAGGGAAGAGACTTTTGTTCCTTGAGTTTATCATGAAGACAGCTCTTCTCTTCACCCAGGGTGGTACGCTGCCTGGAAGGGGGTGCTTCCTTTGAAGCTGAAGTCTGGGAACAAAAGTCTCCCATTCTCATTTAACACCATAGATTTTATTAAAGATTGTAACAAGATTAGCTGCATGTTTATTTAAAATCTTCCCCCAGTATACAGTAAATCAGAGGTTATATACTGTATAAATGCATATATAGACCACTACTACTAACACTACTATGAAATATGAATATGAAATAGTGTCAAATGTTCAATATAATTTGGCCTTGTAGATCTTTTTTAAATATACACTCATCCATATCAACTAGTGTCCAAAGCTTTATAGGATTCCAGTTCATTGCAAGGATTACATACTTATAGTAGTCCTACTTACATTCACATCTAGGAATAATCTGCTGTACAGTCTACAATCACCTAAAACCGAAAGTTAAGTAAACAGGAACACTCAGGGTAAAGCCAGCAGACTCCACACAGGTTGAAATCCAGTGCCTAGTGCCTTCCCTGCTGAAGGCAGCAGTGCAAATAACTACCAAGCCCCTCATGCTATATAGTCATATTTCAATTGCGAATGATTATGATTATTCTCTGATTAGTTGGCATGTAATGTTAAATCAAATGTTGTGTGTTTTAGGTAAGTAATTAAAAGCAATAAAAAATAAAAGATGTTGAAAAAGACTGCAGCCATAATATATTACGTGTCATTTATAATTGCTTAGATTCATCTTTACAATGACTCTACAATGGATTTCAGTAGAGTTTAAATTACTGCAGCTTGTCAATACATTTCTCAATACTCTACAGGACCAAAATAAATCTCTGATTGTCTATTGACATATGAACCCACTTGGCCTCTCTGGTCATCTGTTCCAAATGAACATGGAGAAGCAGCATTTTGTTACTATGCACCGCAGAACTAGCACAGACTTAGAGGATTTCAGACTTGCATTTTTATATTCTCTTTCATTATTATCCAGCTTGCATTTGCATCTTTACCTGACTAGTATCTCTTTCTCTTATCTCTTCAGGTGCATTAAAATGCTTTTCAAGATTCAGATTTACATTTTAATGCATTTATGCTGCATTTCCTTTATGTTTATAATGTTTTAATACATATGTCAGGCACTTGGAATTGCTTTTGTGTATGAAATGTACAGCTATGTAAGTATAATTTTCAGGTTTATATTATCTGTTTATTTTTTGGTCCATTAGCCAGTGAGCCTTGACAACTGCCATCCACCTGCACAGGTCTCTAAAAAGTCAGTTGATAAGCCTAAGCTCTCTTCAGAAAAGAGGAGTATCTAGCCCACACAAAATGCCACAGTGCTCCATGGAGCCCACGTTGTGACACACACCTCCTGATATTATCTGGATACTGCGGATTTATGCAACATCCAAAGAACTTATTCACTGGCAAAAGAGGCATGCGACAGCAAAGTGACTCCACAGTGCAGGTGGGCATGTCTGCAGGATCTGATTTTTCTTTACAGGACTCAGGTGAAGCGCACAAATCTCAGTGTGAAGCAGTTTGGCCGAAGAAAGAAATTGAATTTGTAGAAAAGGTCAAATCTCCAGTGTCATGTTCATCTGCGGCTGCCACACAAATATTGTAGGTATAAGCCTCTTGTGCACTTTACACATGGTGGAAAGCCTCCTCCTCATATGATCAGCGGGTAAAAGCAGTCAAACAGCACACTGAGGAAAGGCAGCTCATCCAATCACAGACACAACCGTGAAGCCACAGTTGAATCACAGGCAAAACAAGACATCCAAAGGTACAGTTCACTGCAGGTCTTTCCTAACTAACAGAGCTGTTTATTCTGCCTTCACCTGCCCACATAACCTCCCCTCCCTCTCCAGGCTAGAGGCCACTTCATCCGAGACTCAGTGACAGGCACCCTATGAGGCAGTGGGACAGCAATGAAGATGTCATAAAGAGCTTTAAGAAAACCCAGAGTCAAACCATCATTTAACCCCATCTGAAGACTCAGATTTCTTGAAATCCACTGAGCTGGCATGGAGGCAGAATGGTGATCAGAGGAATGGCTCAAGCTTCTTCCCCATTTGATATATGTGAGGAAGTCATGGCAACAACTAATGAGATGCTTTCTCTTCACAGTACACAAAGTAAAACATACTATAATTCTCACTTATCTATTCATCAGGGCCTGTGAAAATCGACTCTACCTCTCAAGCTACATAACCCTTTAAAATCCTTTCTTGTCAGAAAGCTGAATACAGGGCTGCTTACAGTATTAGATCATGAAAAGCTGACATGTTGGAGATGGATGGTGTTCACAGGACAGTTTTCACATTTTAAACAGAAAATGTGACCCATGCAAATCTCACTCAATAGCTACCAAATATTCAACATTCAATTAAAAGTTATCCATAATAAGTAACCAGTCAGAGTGCAGGAGCTGATTTCTGCTATTTTAGATTTTACAAATACATGAACACTTCTAAAGATCAATTAAGTGAAGGTTTAAATGTCTTCTGCGCGTAAATGTGCACGGGAAATTATCATTTGATCATTAATGTGGCTTTCTTTTTTCTGAAAACAGTAAAACATTTCCATCACAGTTTCCCAAGGTGATGACTTTAAACCACTTGTTTTGCCCGACTAACAGTCCAAAACCCAAATATATGGAATTTACTATAATAAAAGGCTAAAATAACAAGCAAATGCTGCCTTTCCTCAGTGCGCTGTTTGACTGCTTTTCCCTGCTGATCATATGAGGAGGATAGATAGAAGCATTAAGTGTTCTGCAGCTTTGCTTTTAAAAAAAAGACATAAATGGTTAATCTCCTCTCAAAATAGCTGCAATAAATTTCATGTCAGTCAACTAATTAATTAATCGATCACAATAATAATATAAAAGCAACTCTAACACAAAAATAAGTACTGTTAGTTCTGCGAGTTCTAATCTGAAACAGACACTATTCCACAAATAGTGTGACTATTCCATGAAATACAAGCCCATCTGTTGGTGGGGGATTTAGAAAGCCCCCTGCAGCCACTTTTTAAAATGATTCAACTGTAAATTGATTTGTTGCAGGCTTTACTAACATCACAAAGACAGCCTGTGATCCACTTTGCTGTGGTTTATCCACCTTAAGCCCCTATTTAAAAACCTCCAAACCCTAACTGCCCTGCGACTGATGATGTGATTCAACACTTTGATATGGCTGAATTTTACATTAAATTTTCCTCATGTGCTCCAGCACCACCATGATTCAATATAAAAGTCAGACGTGCCTCAGGAAAACGTGCTCATATTTGAGTGGTTTCCACTGAATTGGCCCCCTGTCCCTCCTCCTCTTACCATCCACACAGGCAGGTCTGGCTCTTGTAGTTCCTGCGATCTGGCCCTTCTTACAGGCACAGCGGGCCGTCTGCCTGGCGATGGTCCGCCGTGGTTGGCTGCTGTCCCTGTCCAGCGTCACAATCTCACATGTCCCCGCTGCCAGCTGGCCTGGAAATGACATTGCACCACAGAATGTGAGGTCAGAGAGATGAAATGATAAACAGGGCAAAATAAACGAGTCTGTCTCTTCTGTTAAATTTGTACTCTGTCACATGTTCTTTGGCGTAGCTCTGTTCTTTTTCATAATCATTTGTAGCTGGCAGGGCACGACACAAACATTACCAAATTCAAGGGATTGGGTCTCACTGGAGCCACTGACACAAGTGCATGTACTGTAGACAACAAGACTTCAATACATGGCTAGAACATTTATTCAAATTTTGAACATGTCATACATGTACATATACAACAATTTAGACACAGCCTAAACAGCCATTGCTGTTTCTTGACTGTATGTCACTTTGTTTCAATAAAATAATCAAGTCCCCCAGTGTTTTACTTTTTCTAAAAGTTTGTTATGTACCACACAATACTGTTAAAAATTGTGAAGATAAAGCCAGATTTAACAAATGGACATTTATACCTCACGCAATTGACATTTTTTTCTCATGCAATGAAAAACAAATGTATAACTGATAACGCCGACTCACGGAGCTAATCAACTCTGGCCATGTGTTGCAACACCGGCGTACGCCATGATAGTTATTAAGTGAACCCGCTGTAGCGCCGTTGTGACGAATGGTAATGTAACTGGTAGACTTGCTGTGAGACTTTATCAGAGGTGCTGAAGTTTGAACATGTTTGTGGATTTGTGGTGAGACTTCTGCCTGATCACATTGTTTCAGTTAGTTTCAGTTTCACATGCAATATGCAGTCACAAACTTTGTCGGTCAAATGGTCTGAAGGGGATATAACTAGTGGAGCAATAACATAATACACATCAGAGTATAGAGCATATTATGAATTGTCATTAATTGATGATATTATTCTCGTAATATTACAACTTTTTTCTCGACATGTCAGAACACAGATATGTGGGAGAGATTCTGAGAGTTTTGAACATGAGCAGAAAACCAGCTGAAAGACAGGAGACAATAAATGATATTATAACTGAAATGAATTAATTTGTCATTGAGGTGAAAAGGTGCCACATTCACATTTAAAGAGGTTACTAACCCTAACAACAAGACAGAAAAGAGGACGGAACACTAAACCATAACTGCATGCGTGTTGACTCAGCAGGGATGATATACTAGAAAAATTTATCTATAGGAGAAACATATCTGAAAGCAACACAGAATGCCTGTGAGCCCTATTGCATTATATTCTGTTAGATTTTTAGATTTTGAATTGTCACCTGCCACCTGAATTTTGTGTTCCCTGTCAATGAATAAAAATAATTCCACCATATTGGTGCAGACAAATTCACCAGAAAGTAGGAAATGAAGTGTTTATTGCTGAAAATTTTCATATAATTCAGCATTGAAGATTTCCTAAAAATAGTGTTAAAATCTCGTCTCGTCACTTCTCGTTCTTGTGAACCCAATCTCGTCTCTCGTCTCACGGGGGAGGTTTCAGGATTGAGCGATGTGTCCTGGGTTGATTCTGCATCTAGCGGGTCATCATTTGACAGTGATCCACTTGCAGAAGGTAAAAATTCCTAAACATTGCATATGCATTCATTTTCATTAGCCAGTGTTGCAAGGCTATATAAATAGGTAACTTTTGGTTACATGATCATGAAAAACTAATGATGCAGCGGATAGCCTAATAATATTTTCAAACCACCTGTAGCCCAACATATGGCTTGCAATTATTGTGATATAAATAAAACATAAACCAATAGGTCTAATATTATCAAATGTAGCCTAGATAAACATTTATGAAATAGACTTAATCTAATGTAGTCTTTCCCTCTGACACAATGGTTGGCTGTTGTTTCAAGAGAGTCTGCGCCTCCTTTGTGTTTGTGTGTTTGCAAGAAATTCTGTTTATTATTTTAGCAAAAGTGATCATTATACATTTTTTCATTGGGTAAAATATTACTTAAATTTTGGAATTTATTAGAGCCTTTTCTTTCCAATAAATATTTTCGTTTGGACTACGTTTGTATATTTAATTGGATGCACATCCAAAACAAATAGCAGTAAGAATACCTTAGGTTTTCCATTATTATTATTATTATTATTATGTAGACCTTTAAAAACTCTGCAATAGTCAATCTTGTTTGTATTGTAAACAATTGTATGCTACATTTTAATTCCGATTGTGTTCAACAGAGCCGAGCGGATGACATCAAAAGAGCTACTGATATGCCCTTCACAGCAGAAGAGTGCAGGAGAAGGACCTGCATGGTGAAGGTGCAATACAAACAGAATAAAACATTCTGTAAATGCCGCAAGTGCAGGGATGCTGTTTATGGGAAATGCACAGTGAAGGTGCTGAATGTTTGCACAAAGTGTGTTTGAGCAACATGTAGCAGAAATAATCACAAAACCAATACATTCTACTAGCGGATATATTTTACACATGGCATTTACATTTATTAATGTAACTTACAAGTGATATATATATATATATGTGTGTGTCAGAGGTCACACACCTCTGGAGCAACTAGGGGTTAAGTGTCTTGCTCAGGGACCCAATGGTGGATGGGTCACAGTGGGGAGTTGAACCCAGGTCTCTCATACCAAAGGCATAGTCTTATCCATTGCGCCAGCATCCCTCTTATATTTACAGGATCATTACACACACAATTTCCCTTAATATTCAAAGATTCTCTAGAGTCAGTTGCTTGTTTTCCTTTTGTGATAAAGCAATAGAAATGTTTATCTGTGACATGTCGAAATGTAGAGTCATGGAGATCACAAACTGACTTAGTAATGTCGGTTAGAGAAAAAGCTAGCAACAAGATAGCTAGCTAACACTGGTCATACAAGGCCAAGAGAGGCTGTAGCAGCAAAACCCAATAACAGTGTATTGAATTGAGGAGTGTTTTATTGCTCATTAATTCAACTTTTCTTTTCTGGGAGTAGGATTTTGTTATTTCATCTACAAAGTCTCACTTTAACAACCAGGTGCGAGATGTGAAAAGCATGGACAAACAATGTTATCCCATTAAAAAATAAATACTTTACTGACTTTAACCACATATATATGCAGTGAGGATACCATTTTGAAAGAAACGTGGGTTCTTTAAGGTTCGACAGACCTAAGTTCCTTAACCCTGAACAGTTAGGAATTGCTCAGAAGCCAACAGAGGAACACTGTGGTGGTATTGAGCAGCTCCCAGATGTAATTGCATGTGTTCAGGACTTTAAAAGACTATAGTGAAGAAATTACTTTTAAATTTCAGCTACCTACAGTCTACCCACAAGCTATTTTCCATTAAGGGCCACATCCTATGAGCACACCTCTTTGAAGGTAATGTACCCATTAGCCATGAATGACACACATGAATACTGATGAACTTTGTAATTGCTGCCAAGGCCCAGCCATCACACACACACACACACACCCACACACCCACACACACACATTCCCCATGTATTCAATCAGGTAACCTTTGGCCTTATAGCCGGCCCTTGCTGCTCGCAAATTAACCTTTGTCTGTGTGTGGAGGCCCTCGGGTGCCATCCTAGAGAGGCTTATCAGGATCTAATTGTGATTGGCAAGAGGATGGAAGTTGTGATTAAATCTGGACTTGGAGTCCCGAACACTTGGGTGGCTGGCTTAATGAACTGAGCAGCAAGGGGTCACACCCAGGCTAATGGGGATCTATCAGGATTCATTCACACACTGGTACCTGGGGTGGCCATGGCCACAGATGGAGAAAATATCTGTGTTCATACAATATGTAGCCATTTTAAAGGTTACAATAATGTCTCTTTTAGGGCAACAAAAACAAAACAAATCACAAACTTCATGCAACTTTAGTAACATCCATAACATCAATTTTGCACATCCCTGCACTAACTGTAATTTTAAACCACCACCATATTGTACATATCCTTTATTATTCTATTATCTTTTCATCTTATTCTCAATTTTATATTTTATATTATTGATTCTGACCTGCAGTACTTGGCTCTATCTTTATCTTTCTTATATTCTTCTACCTACTGTGTTCATTGTGAAGCACCTAAACACCAAAACAAACTCCTTTTTATTTGTAAACCTGCTCTGCAATAAATCTGATTCTGACATAAGCTATAGTTGCCCTATACCCTGTTTCAACTTCCCATCCTTTATTTTATTTATGATACAAAACAGTGCACCAAAAGACAACCACAACAACAAAAAACTTAGGGGATGGGTGGGGATAGGGTAGTATGTGGGGGCACAACTACAATACAGTACCACCATATAAAACAATATTTAATTGATTATCTATGCAATGATAGGGTTTACCAGACCTGTAAGGGGAGCCAAGTTCCAAAATGCTCTCAGGTACAGACTCAAAAAAAGAAAAGTTCAAGTAATCATCTATTGAAAAACAACTTGACTTATGTATCTTCTAATTCACAAAAACATTATCTTAGCAGCAAATAATGCTAAGCCTGCTATTTTGGACTTTTTGGACCTTAGCTGTGCAGTCCAATTTGTTAATAATTTTATGAATATGAACATGTTTTTACCTATGAACCTATACACTTTAAATATTTTTTATCTTTATGTGATGCAACTATTTTTTGTCTGTTCACATGCTGGCACTGAGGAAAAATGTATCTCATTCTGCTGCCCATGGATGAAGTTTTAACTAGGGTTAGGTTTAGGTGAACTTGTGTTCCTAACAACGATAACATCATGCTTCTAAGCCACCCCAGTTTTTCTACTTTCCCATACATATACTTACTGCCAGACACACACACAGACAATGTTTTGCAATGTGTTTTTAAATGATTTTTTTTAGCTTAAGAGACAAGATATGTATGTATGTTCACACTTTTTCTTTCAGTTTCACTAAAAAATTCCAAATCACCAAAATTGGAGCTACATGCTTTTCACTGGACAGTGATAATAAGTTGCTTAATGTGTTAATTTTTCTTTTTTATTGATACATTTTTATTTTTTGTGTTGGAAAAAATAGCACAAGCAAAACAAGGCTG